CTGTTTTAAATATCACTGGTGCAATTGGCGATTATTCTGCACCGAGAAAAAGAAATAGAATTCTTTGAGTTATTATCATATTGAGAACCCCGGGCAGATGTACTCTGCTTTCCCGCACTTGCTGCTATGTGAAGAAAGATTTTGGATGCCGGAATGATAAGTAACAGCCATTCAAAGGCCGAATCAGAACTGGGCAGTCCAGGTGGGACGGTAGCTAAAATGGATTAAATTGATAAATTTTTTTGCTGCCATTGGCAGCTAGGTTGATAAGTTGTATTAAATTTACCCTTTTAGATCCAACGTGGTATTTAACACTTGTACTAGGATCTTTTTTCCCCGTACAAAAGTAGACGATATCCAGAATATCCAGGCAGGCAAGGATTACCTATGGTTGCCGGGATGTTTCCACAGGCAAGGAGTAGCTATATCAGATACTTCTGTCCCAGTCTGCATGCATCCCTTCCAGTACTCACCATGTTCCGTTCGATGTATGTATGCCACTTCTCTTGAAAGCCAGTCGTAGTGGTCCTCCCGATTTTGAAACTTCAGGAAAATGAGTTCTGGAGGTAGTTTTTGGACCTCAAATTTTTAGAAATTAATATCTTCATGTTTTTATAATAATGTGGTGAAAATACGTTGCTAAAATCCTTCATTTTTTGTACACAAAGTGTTGTGGAAATTTTAAAGATGCAAACAATGAATATCTCTGGCTAGAAGACTGGAAGAGAACCGGGGGACCTGAAATCCTCTATATTTTAATATATGCACTTTGTTATCTTTGCAGTCTATTGAATTTTCGCCACAAGAAGCAGCAGAAAGAATGACTTTACCTCCGAAAACCGTATCGTTATCGTACTCGTCAAGAGATCCGATTTTGATTGAGGTAAAATGATTTAATTTACCGCCACAAACGAATGGTCAAACTATTGACCATTAGGATTATCGTAGACTCACCGACTTATCACTTCCATCGGGAGAACCGTTGAGCTGAAAATCCCTTCAGGAAACGAAACGAACGTCAGGATTGCAGTAGGTTGACCACCAGGCGCAGGTAGCATTGTCCAAAGCATATGCAAAAATTGCATTGTAAAATTAGTATATAAGTTAATAATTGAATGTGCCATAAATAATACTTTTGGAGCGATACGGGGCACTTTTGCCTCGGTTTTTTTTTTTCATCTTTTGCGCAAAGGTTTTGCACGCACAAGCCAATTTGTCTGTATTTACAGCTAAGGGATGAAACATAAGCAGTGACTGTTTTCACGGGTAATTTTAAACGAGATGTTACCCTCTGCGTCCTTCTCATAACATTACAGTGCGTCTGTCCGCTTGAATTAAATACTCCCCTTTCTAGCACAACTATATTAGAGAACAGGTTCGGTTCCTTTATGTCCTGATATTATCGAGGTTTCTGGCGTCTTCTGTTGGTTCGGACTGCTGTATTTTTTGATTTCCCCAGCCCACGTTGTTTTCTGGCGGAGATGTGCCAATCAGTTTCTATGGAAAGCACTTCACACCCTTTCTTTTCTACTTCCTCTTATATGCTGTATTTCCCAATCCACGTTGTTTTCTGGCAAAAATGTGCCAATTTCTGTAGAAATTCTCGTTTTTTGAATTTCTCCTATATGCTTTATTATTTTTGCAGAGTCTGTCGAAACTGAGGGCGCAGACAGCTGTCGATTGCGGTTCTCATTTCGCTGTTTGTACAGTTTCAAGTATGGTTGCAGCGCGTGAATTGGGCACCCGTAGAGCACCGAAATTTTCTCAAGTCGGTCACTCCAAAGTACACACCGAACGAAATAAACCGGCTGCATTCAGTGCCTCTGAAAAAGTTTATCTTGTGAATAAGTCAGTTTTTTTTGCATTCATTTTTTCCTTCAATTCGTTGTGGATGCAAATACGCTCACAGAGCTTTCTCCGTGCTTCTGCAGAAAACAAATATGGAAAAATTCCATTTTTGCGCAAAATTCCATTTTTCTTTTGATTTTTCTAATCCTGCATCTATGTATGACTTTGCCAATAAAATTCATCTATTTTTTCTTCCATTCGTCCATGCTTTCGTTTCTGTGGAGAGCCTTTTTTGTCCCATGATCTGTTACTGATTTTTAGTTTATGATTGTTTATTTTTTTAGCACTGCTTTTACGATTGTTATTTTATTGACGTCGATTTTTATTTTCCAGGTTTATTCCGAATCGAAGGGAACGGATTGATAGAGCGGAATCGAAAACATTTTGCTGCTTGTATCTGCCGGATGGAAGGATTGTTACTGCAAGTCAAGGTATATTCTGCAGTCTTCTAAACTTTATATTGAATTAATGAGAAGTACACCATCATAATGAATACTAAGACCGTTGAAACTTTCGCTGTAGGCAGTCCGTATTAGTGGTAGCACTGGGATGCTTTTACGCTCCGGGCAAAGTTTTGCCATGGAAAATTTTGTGTTATGGGAATTTTGTGTCTTTTAGTTTTCTGAACGTCAAAAAAGGTGAAAAAAAAAGTAGAAAGTGTCAGAAATCAAAATTCTCTCCTCATTTACTCTTTGTGAGAGGCTGGAGTATTTGGTAGTATTCCGAGGGTAGCAAGTGCCAGCAGCGATTACTAACTGACTGGACTATTGATGGCTTCCTCGTTCGATGATTACTTGCAAGTAAGCTGATGGCGGGTTTGACTTCCTGACATTATATTAATCAGAATGGATAAATGAATCATAGAGGGATATTAAATTCCTGAATTTCCTGATCTTAGCCTGTTTTGTTTGCTTCATTTTTTGATTGCAGGAAACAATTGAACCTGAAATATTTGTTATGCTGAAAATAGAGAATTAGAGATTTTTAAATAGAATAAAAGTTGATTTTAAAATATTTCTTATCGTTTAGTAGATTTTTGGGTTTTTATTTCTAAATCACTGGATTGCGTAACTTCCAGACGAACATCTTCGATTTTATCAGCGCTACGATACGACGAACTATTACACTATGCAAGGCCAATATGCTGTACCATATGTGGGTTGGAGTATTCTCGACTTGGCACTCAGCCCTGATTCTCGTTTCTTGGCATACGGAACATGGAGCGATTCAGGTTTGTATGTGTGTGTGCGTTTTTTTTCTTGTAAAATCGCAACTTTTCAATTTTCGATGGTTTTGAAGAAGCTTCTTCACAATACCTCCATGGATATGTTTTCAGTTTATGCAGTTTGTGAAAAATTGGGAAGAATGACCAATCGGTAATGAGTTTTGATTTTCAGCACCATCGACGAAAAATTATGATTTTTGCCAGAGCATTGATTTTGTGCAATTTTTTATCCGCATTGTAAAGATACTGTGTTTTTTTTTCAGTTCATTTCTGTAGAATTGATCATATCGAAGATGATTTATTCTGGGGCACTCTGACTCGTCCAGATGTATTACCAAATCTTGCAGATAGGTGAATCATATATTTTTGTTTTAATTGAATAACGTTGTTCCTTCAAATATTAATTATATTTGCAAAATACGCTAAAACAGTGGCATAATTCGGGATAAAATGTGTCCTTCATTTAAATTGAAGAATGATGAAGTTGCCAGTTGCATCAATGGCAAGAAGAAACATGACGATGAAACAACAGTTAACAAATGTAAAGTGTAAAAGCTCGAAACATACAAATATATATATTTATCACTTCTTAGTGTTTGTTAGCAAAAATACGGGAGTATTTGGAAGAATTCGTAGAAGTAAGCATAAAAACGCCTGTAGAATGATTTTATTTAGTTGAGGTACCATAAAATTGCTACGACAGTAAGTCACAGATCTTATTAGTTGTCCTGCAAATCTAGAAAAGATGAATTTTTCCTGTAAATCTAGAAAAAATCTGCTTTTTTCCTGTAAGATCTTCATCGAAATGCTTTTTTTTTGCAGGGAAGGGAAAGTTTCAGGTAAAAAATTAAATTATGTGTCGTTGGACGAATTGATTTTCTTAGTACAATAATATTTCAGATTTTCATTTTTCTCCCTTCGCTACACTGCTG